CACACATTTCAGTTCAAACAACTTGTAAAAGTGCATGTAGCATCCTATGACCCCTTTAAGAGATGCAGTAGAGATTAAGGTTTTCTATGAATAACAACTTCAATTTTGGCCTGTTTTCTCTTTTGTGAAATCTTATATTTCAAAAGTATATTTTGCTATATTTCTTTAAAATAATGTCCTATTTTTGTTATATACAGCAGAGCTTTTTAATTTTTAAGTGCGACTTAAGTGTCCTCATACAGTATGTCCAAAGTATTTCATATCTATAAAAGATATTAAAACAGATCCAAGTGTTTATAGTGGCCTTACAGAGGCTTTAGTCAGCGAATATTTAATATTTTTTATATATAATAATATTTAATAGTTTGTTGGGAGATGACGAGTGTACTCAATAACACAATGAGTGTCAATGCTGCCAAGAATCATCACGTCATCAGGATGGGACGTCTGCACAGTAATAGTTTAACCCTGTAAAGTCTGACATGAATTCATCTTTTTTTAAGTAAAAAGGTTTGCATGTGTTTTGTTTTGTTAAGGATCATATTTGATACATAAGGTTTTTATGCCTCGTATAATAAGATATAGGAGAACATGGAGCTCATTCTTGAGGATTAAAAAGGGTGAAGCCCAAACTGAGCAAAAATATGCAATTTGGTGCTGTTGCTGATATGTATATGGCCAAAAAGTAAGTCAAAATTCTGATAGCTTGTAATGTAAATCAATAAGATTTTCAAAACTACTTGCATAAAAAGTATATAAATCAGTCATCACTCTATATCTCCCAATAATGTTTTTAGTAAGATGATATTTAAATGTTTAATTGTATGATCAATGCTGTGTAGTTTGTATTGTGGGGGGCACAACATATAATACAACACCGTGATCATGTAAACCATCATGTATTTCTGTTTTGTTTAGTTGTCAATGTATGTCATCATCATTATGTGTATCTTTTAATTTATAGTGAATGAATGTTGTATTATTGTTGGCTGTCTTTATGTTAGTATTATGTTACCTGCCTAGGGACTGCAGATGAAAAGTAGTTATTGTTACTAATTCTGGCATATTTACATGGTGTATATTTATACAACAATGTTCATGAATATGCATGGTCCCTATTAAATAAACCAATAAATAAAATTATGATTGAGAGATTTGCAAATATAAACCTTACTCAAAATCCTGATGCATCATATTTGATACTCACATTTTAACACGATTTTTCTAAAAAAGAAATGACGTGTGGATAATTAAGTAAACCTACTTGTCCTTCGGATGAGACATTAAACTGAGGTCCTGACTCTCTGTGGTCATTCAAAATCCCAGGATGTCTTTCGAAAAGAGTAGAAGTGTGACCTCGGCATCCTGGCCGAATTTGCCCATTGGCCTCTGATCATCATGGCCTCCTAACAATCCCCATATCTACTGATTGGCTTCATCACTCTGTCTCCTCTCCACTAATAAGCTGGTGTGTGATGGGTGTTCTGGCGCACTATGACTGCCGTCGCATCATCCAGGTGGATGCTGCACACTGGTGGTGGATGAGGAGATACCCCTTGACAATGTAAAGCGCTTTGAGTGCCTAGAAAAGCGCTATATAAATGTAATGAATTATTATTATTATTATTATTATTATTACTGGCTTCAGTCCAGTAAGTGTTCATCTTTAAATATTACTAACAATATTAAAATTATTCTTACTTTACAAAAATCAGTAGATTTCACAGCAATATTGTACAGCAAATAGACACATGTACCAGAAGGTGGACGTGGCCTTTTATTTGCTAAAAATGTATAAACAGATGACAGAAGGCGTGTGACAGGTTGTGTACAATAAGGCAAAGTATGGATCATTTAGAGGCCTTAGAAATTGGTGTAT